CTAATCTATAGTCCAGTCTATAGTCTAGTCTATAGTCTAGTGTAATCTATAGTCTAGTCTAGTCTATAGTCTAGTCTATAGTCTAGTGTAATCTATAGTCTAGTCTAGTCTATAGTCTAGTCTATAGTCTAGTCTATAGTCTATAGTCTAGTCTATAGTCTAGTCTATAGTCTAGTCTATAGTCTAGTCTATAGTCTAGTCTATAGTCTAGTCTCTAGTCTAGTCTCTAGTCTAGTCTAAAGTCTAGTCTATAGTCTAGTCTATAGTCTAGTCTATAGTCTAGTCTATAGTCTAGTCTATAGTCTAGTCTATAGTCTAGTCTATAATCTAGTCTATAGTCTAGTCTATAGTCTGGTCTATAGTCTAGTCTATAGTCTAGTCTATAGTCTAGTCTATAGTCTAGTCAATAGTCTAGTCTATAGTCTAGTTTATAGTCCAGTCTATAGTCTAGTCTATAGTCTAGTCTATAGTCCAGTCTATAGTCCATAGTCTAGTTTATAGTCTAGTCTATAGTCTTGTCTGTAGTCTTGTCTGTAGTCTACTCTATAGTCTAGTCTATAGTCTAGTCTATAGTCTAGTTATAGTCTAGTTATAGTCTAGTCTATAGACTAGACTATAGACTAGTCTATAGTCTAGTCTATAGTCTAGTCTATAGTCTAGTCTATAGTCTAGTCTATAGTCTAGTCTATAGTCTAGTCTATAGTCTAGTCTATAGTCTAGTCTATAGTCTAGTCTATAGTCTAGTCTATAGTCTAGTCTATAGTCTAGTCTATAGTCTAGTCTATAGTCTAGTCTATAGTCTAGTCTATAGTCTAGTCTATAGTCTAGTCTATAGTCTAGTCTATAGTCTAGTCTATAGTCTAGTCTATAGTCTAGTCTATAGTCTAGTCTAGTCTATAGGCTAGTCTAGTCTATAGTCTAGTCTAGTCTATAGTCTAGTCTAGTCTAGTCTAGTCTATAGTCTAGTCTAGTCTAGTCTATAGTCTAGTCTAGTCTAGTCTAGTCTAGTCTAGTCTAGTCTAGTCTAGTCTATAGTCTAGTCTAGTCTATAGTCTAGTCTAAGTCTAGTCTATAGTCTAGTCTATAGTCTAGTCTATAGTCTAGTCTATAGTCTAGTCTATAGTCTAGTCTATAGTCTAGTCTATAGTCTAGTCTATAGTCTAGTCTATAGTCTAGTCTATAGTCTAGTCTATAGTCTAGTCTATAGTCTAGTCTATAGTCTAGTCTATAGTCTAGTCTATAGTCTAGTCTATAGTCTAGTCTATAGTCTAGTCTATAGTCTAGTCTATAGTCTAGTCTATAGTCTAGTCTATAGTCTAGTCTATAGTCTAGTCTATAGTCTAGTCTATAGTCTAGTCTATAGTCTAGTCTATAGTCTAGTCTATAGTCTAGTCTATAGTCTAGTCTATAGTCTAGTCTATAGTCTAGTCTATAGTCTAGTCTATAGTCTAGTCTATAGTCTAGTCTATAGTCTAGTCTATAGTCTAGTCTATAGTCTAGTCTATAGTCTAGTCTATAGTCTAGTCTATAGTCTAGTCTATAGTCTAGTCTATAGTCTAGTCTATAGTCTAGTCTATAGTCTAGTCTATAGTCTAGTCTATAGTCTAGTCTATAGTCTAGTCTATAGTCTAGTCTAGTCTATAGTCTAGTCTAATCTATAGTCTAGTCTATAGTCTAGTCTAATCTATAGTCTAGTCTAATCTATAGTCTAGTCTAGTCTATAGTCTAGTCTATAGTCCGGTCCACAGTCTAGTCCATAGTCTCGTCTATTGTCTAGTCTATAGTCCAATTTTCCATGCCTGATCTACAATATAATTTTGCGAGTCAATTAAGATATGGTTGTATGTTTGTTAAAATCAATTTCCAAAATATTCCAAGAAACTTCGGTATCCAAATCTTCAATAATTCTATCAGACATGTTTTTGAAAAGTTTTCTATTTAAAAGCAGAAAAATCGGTCCATTAATATCAGAGAAATTTTCTTATAACCATAAAGAAATCTTAATACTTAATTACAATTTCTCTTGCAATACGGAACCTGATTCGACCCGTCCTTTATATTATAAGCAAATAATCACAATAGCAACAATTTGCTATCACGATTATTCCATTAACTGTACATTTACAGTTGTTGTTATTTGGGATTTCATTTGTGAACTGTTTGCAAAATTTTACGAACGTGCACAAACATACATTTTACAATCAACGAATACCATTAATGTTAATATGTATAACAATTACATTAAATAACGTTTCAATAACTTACATACTTTAAGGAGCTTGTAACATTTAAGTTAACATTACAATAATGTAAAAATCTAACAGTGTAAAGGTGAAATATGTTTGTTACTATTCTGCTGTAATAATAATCTAACAAGAAATTAAGTTGGAATCGTTTTTATCAAATTGAGAAACTAATGAAAATAACACTGGCTAATAAAATTTGAAAAAAGACTCCGAATTTCTCCAATACCTCAGTTTTTTGAGATATAAAGATATGCTTTTAAAAATTTTCCATCATTATAAAGAAGTTGATATAAATTTATAACATATTTCATACTAAATTTTTCGAAAAATACTTTTAATAAAAAAGTTTTAATTACATACCAGGATTACTTAATAAAAGCCAATTGTTGGAAATGAATATACTTTTCTTGATAAATCGCCATTGCCATTCAATCATTAAGACCTTTTGTTTCTTAAATGCTGTTGTTTACAAATTCTGTTTTGAACACCCTTTTTTTTCTTGTGTTTTTCGAGTTTACAAAAATTCTGCTAATGAATGCATTCAATTGCTCTGCTATCATTTTAACACTTATGGGAGTATTTATAATACAACCTGTATGGCTGACCTATAGAATGAATGAAAAATAAATCAGAATTTTAATTAAGTGAATGATATGAAATTGAGAAAAAAACATGCCGTATTCAAAAACGATTACACAGGCCAATTAGATTTGAAAAAAGGATTGAATTGCGCTGAATTACAATTTCTCCATTGCAAGCTTTAGGTTAAGTAATAATAACATATTTCTCGCTGTTATAACTTCTCAAATATATCCAAAAACGAGTTTTTTTTCACTTAAGAACATGATCAAGAACCTGGGAGGTTACTCTGTAGTTCGATTGAAAAGAAAAAGCTTTCGAAACACAGTGTAAATAGCACACAAATTCCAAAATTTTTGCTTTCAAATCGAATTACAAATCCCTTGATGAGATTTAGAACTTCTGTTGCCAGAATAGTTGGCCTGAGTGAGTTAATATCGTTTTTGAACGTGCTAAATATTTTGTTAGCTAAAATGTTAATCAAAAATATTATAAAAATAAACAGACTTATTGATAGCTTTTACCAAATCAGGCTCAAATGTCTTTTTGAATTAGTTTCCAGATGTTAATTTTCATTGTTTTTAAAATGCTTAAGGGATCAATTAGCATTTTAGATAACGATTTTAAATAGTTTCTTATAGAAATAAGGAGTAATGCCTCATCTCATTTTATATTAAAAACTATATATCTCCTAAGATACAGGCCTATTCGGAATAATAAGCTTCCTGGCAGTTTGTTCACTCTCTTATACCTAAAGCATGCAAAAGGGAACAATATTCCGGCAAAAAATAATTCATAATTGGCCTGAATAAACCTCTTCTTGTTACAAAATTTAGCAAATTAACAAATAATTTAGATAATTACAAATTTGTCTGTGATGATAAAGTCTTGAGCGGTGTAGAAACAAAAGCAGTAAACTCCATTTCATTCATGATCTTAACTAAAAAACTTTCGATTCGATTTTCCAGCAATCTTCAAAGTGAACTTGTTTCAAAACTTGCTTTAAATCTTCTTTTAAATGAACATAAAGTTTTTTCTTATTCAAATCGAAAAAATATAGAAATGGAGATTGCTGACTTTGTTTCTACAAACCTCATCACTTGGTAGTTAACATATTTGTAAAATATAAAAGAAATTAAGCTTTAAATAGGAAAAGTTGTTCTAGTCCTATAAAATCTTTGCGATGTTTTTGTTATTTTAGCATTTTGTTTACTACATTGCATAGCTTTTTAACAACATCTATAATATTAAACAAAAAACACTTTTAGACAAAAATTTTGCTAGATTTTTGTTTACCATTAATGACAATTCTAAAAAACACATTTTTGTTCTCTCATTTTCTACATAAATTACTATAAATATAAAACATTTAAATACAATTTGGAAATTTTAAATAAATACATGAAATACATGAATAATATGATTTGTGTGTTTTTTTAATATTTGTTTATTTTAATTGTTAATTTTGGATTTCTTAATATTTTTTTTTTCTCTATACAACAACTAATTCAAAATCAGTCAGTTTTATGTTAAAAAAAAAACTTTATATATTAAACAAATTATATAAATGTTAAGCAGAAAACAAAACAAAATTTACCCATAAATTAATAAATAAAGTATATATAAATGTATTTTAAAAAATAACACTTAAAAATAAAATAAAAATAATAATAAAAAAAGAAAAAAAAATAATAATAATGGTAACAATTATTGTTTTGTTTCATATTAAACTAAAAGAAAAAACTAAAATATAAAATTTTTACAATAGAGCTTAAAAATAAAACAAAAGTACATTAAAAAAATAAACAAAATAAAATCTTAGAAAATGACAATCGTTTGTTTTTAAGTAACTTATCATTAGACTATTTTGTTTAGTTTAAAATTACTACTAATGCTATGTTTGTGGTATTTTTTTTATTTTGTTAATTTTATAAATTAATACATAAATAATTATTATATTTAAATTATTTCCTTTTACTGTTGTTGTTGTTGGTTTTGGACAAGGTTAATCTAATTTTTCAGTTTTTTTTTTCGCTAAGTTTTTTTATATATGATTTTTTTTTGTATGTGTTTAAATTTATATTTGGTAGAGCTTAAATATTAAGAGTTTCTAAAAACTAATTTAATTTAGTTTAAATTTAATTTAAAATAATTAAAATATTTTTGTTTGTTTTATTTTTTTGTTGTTTATAATTAGTATTATTAAATTAATTAATTTTATTTCTTTTTGGCCGCTTTTTTCTCCGCCTTGCGTATGGCCTTTTCACGTTCTCGTCGCTCACGTTCCTGATCTTTGCGTTCCTTTTCAATGCTGGCCTTGAGATCTTTAAGTCGTCGTTTTAAACGATGCTTATCGTCGCCGGTAACGCCCAACGTTTTTAAATCTTTCGAATCTAAAGATAACAAAGCGCCACCTTCGACATTGTGCTCTTTGAAAACGGGTATATAACGTTCCATTTCAATGCCCAAAAGCCAATGGCCAACCTAGTAGGAAAAAGAAGCATGGAAAATTTAAATATTGACATAATATTAACTGCTAGATAAAATCTAGTTTAGGTCCAGTTCAGTTGTAGTTCAATTCTAGTTCAGTTCTAGTTCAGTTCTAGTTCTAGTTCAGTTCTAGTTCAGTTCTAGTTCAGTTTAGTTCAGTCTAGTTCCAGTTCTAGTTCAGTTCTAGTTCAGTTCTAGTTCAGTTCTAGTTCAGTTCTAGTTCAGTTCTAGTTCAGTTCTAGTTCAGTTCTAGTTCAGTTCTAGTTCAGTTCTAGTTCAGTTCTAGTTCAGTTCTAGTTCAGTTCTAGTTCAGTTCTAGTCAGTTCTGTTCAGTTCTAGTTCAGTTCTAGTTCAGTTCTAGTTCAGTTCTAGTTCAGTTCTAGTGCAGTTCTAGTTCAGTTCTAGTTCAGTTCTAGTTCAGTTCTAGTTCAGTTCTAGTTCAGTTCTAGTTCAGTTCTAGTTCAGTCTAGTCAGTTCTAGTTCAGTTCTAGTTCAGTTCTAGTTCAGTTCTAGTTCAGTTCTAGTTCCAGTTCTAGTTCAGTTCTAGTTCAGTTCTAGTTCAGTTCTCGTTCAGTTCTAGTTCAGTTCAGTAGTTCAGTTCTAGTTCAGTTCTAGTTCAGTTTCTAGTTCAGTTCTAGTTCAGTTCTAGTTCATTCTAGTTCAGTTCTAGTTCAGTTCTAGTTCAGTTCTAGTTCAGTTCTAGTTCAGTTTCTAGTTCAGTTCTAGTTCAGTTCTAGTTCAGTTCTAGTTCAGTTCTAGTTCAGTTCTAGTTCAGTTCTAGTTCAGTTCTAGTTCAGTTCTAGTTCAGTTCTAGTTCAGTTCTAGTTCAGTTCTAGTTCAGTTCTAGTTCATTAGTTTCATTCTAGTTCAGTTCTAGTTCAGTTCTAGTTCAGTTCTAGTTCAGTTCTAGTTCAGTTCTAGTTCAGTTCTAGTTCAGTTCTAGTTCAGTTCTAGTTCAGTTCTAGTTCAGTTCTAGTTCAGTTCTAGGTTCAGTTCTAGTTCAGTTCTAGTTCAGTTCTAGTTCAGTTCTAGTTCAGTTCTAGTTCAGTTCTAGTTCAGTTCTAGTTCAGTCTAGTTCAGTTCTAGTTCAGTTCTAGTTCAGTTCTAGTTCAGTTCTAGTTCAGTTCTAGTTCAGTTTCTAGTTCAGTTCTAGTTCAGTTCTAGTTCAGTTCTAGTTCAGTTCTAGTTCAGTTCTAGTTCAGTTCTAGTTCAGTTCTAGTTCAGTTCTAGTTCAGTTCTAGTTCAGTTCAGTTCAGTTCTAGTTCAGTTCTAGTTCAGTTCTAGTTCAGTTCTAGTTCAGTTCTAGTTCAGTTCTAGTTCAGTTCTAGTTCAGTTCTAGTTCAGTTCTAGTTCAGTTCTAGTTCAGCTCTAGTTCAGTTCTAGTTCAGTTCTAGTTCAGTTCTAGTTCAGTTCTAGTTCAGTTCTAGTTCAGTTCTAGTTCAGTTCTAGTTCAGTTCTAGTTCAGTTCTAGTTCAGTTCTAGTTCAGTTCTAGTTCAGTTCTAGTTCAGTTCTAGTTCAGTTCTAGTTCAGTTCTAGTTCAGTTCTAGTTCAGTTCTAGTTCAGTTCTAGTTCAGTTCTAGTTCAGTTCTAGTTCAGTTCTAGTTCAGTTCTAGTTCAGCTCTAGTTCAGTTCTAGTTCAGTTCTAGTTCAGTTCTAGTTCAGTTCTAGTTCAGTTTTAGTTCAGTTCTAATTCTGTTCAGTTCTGTTCAGTTCTAGTTCTGTTCAGTTCTAGTTCTAGTTCTAGTTCTGTTCAGTTCAGTTCAGTTCAGTTCAAGTTCTAGTTCTGTTCAGTTCTAGTTCAGTGCCAGTTTAGTTATAGTTCATTTTTAATTCTTTTTATAGACAATTTTCGAAAATTTCTCTATTTAGTAGAAAATGTTTCTACTCACCTGCTCTTTGGTCCATTCATGTACCGGTCCTCCTTTATAATTATAAGCCGCTGCCTTACGTTCCGAGAAACTCGAACTTGAACCTGACAAATCTAAACCCCTGCTGGGAGAATAACCGGGTGAAGAGCAACCCGAAGACATACTCGTTGGTGAGGGAGGACCATTGCTATGAGACGAAGTTTGCTGTTGCCATGGTACTGTACCAGGCGGAGATAAAGATTGAGGAATAACTTGTTTAACTTCATTTACACAAAACAATTACGCAATAATCAAGTTAAAGCATTATAAAAATGTTATCAATCCAACAATAAATTTTGTTAGTTAAGAGTTACCAGAATATCATTTATTATTATTATTATTGTTTTCGGTTTCAAATTTTCAAATTTTGTTTTAAAGGCAAGCATGTTAAAGAAAAATATACAACAAAGAAGAGAAAATAAGAAAAGAAAAAGACCGTAAAATAGAGAAAGACAGGAAGAAAGATATTTATATAAATTGTTACACATCACTCACACCTTTGTATTTTTGTATGTTTTGATATAAAAATATGGCTAAATAATACTAATAATATACAATGTATATTGATAATTAATAAGGGTTATAATAAGTTATGTATATTTGATTATGTATATAATAAATATATTTTAAAAATAACAACATTAATTAAAATAAAATATTAACAAAAATTTAACAAACAGAAAAAAACACAACTTATTTTGTTCGGTTAAATATAAAGTAATGTTTTTTTCTTCAAACACTTTTCTTGGCAGGCATTATTATTTATTACAAATTACAACAACACCAATAAAATTTTGTTTATGTTTTTTGTTTTAATTTTAGTAACAAATCAAAATAATTATCATAATTATAAGAAAATAAAATGTTTTTTTTTAGAATTTTGTTAGTTTTTTAGGTGATTGTTTTGGGGAATTTTCAATAATTTTTTATAAACTACTAGTGGGATTTAGTTCTTAGGTTGTTGTGATTTTTTTGGGAATTTATATTTTTTTAATTTAAGTGATTTTTGTTTTATTTAAATTATTTAATTAATGTGATGTGTCACCTTTTGGTTGAGCCTCATTTACTGCTTGTCGTATTTCATTTATTAAAGTTTTACAGTTAATAGCTGCCACTGATTGTGATTTATTTATTTCGGTATAATCATCGCTGGAATGTCGTGATGAGCCATCACCCAGACGTCTGTAATGAAGAAAGATGAATATGAAATGAAATTATTTAAAAAAGAAATTTAAATTAATAACAATTTGAAACTTCATTTTTATTGGAAAGTTTTTTTTTTAGATCTCTTTTATATAAAAAATCGGAAATTTTCGTAAAATTTCTGTTTTTATAGAAAAAATTTGGAAGATTTTTATAAAATTTTTATAAAAAATTTTCGGAAATTTTTCGGAAAATGTCTTTTTTTATAGAAAATTTTCGGAAAATTTCGGTTTTAATAGAAAAAATTCAGTTTTTATAGAAAATTTTCGGTTTTTATAGAAAATTTTCGGAAAATTTCGGTTTTTATAGAAAATTTTCGGTTTTTTATAGAAAATTTTCGGTTTTTATAGAAAATTTTCGGAAAATTTCGGTTTTTATAGAAAATTTTCGGAAAATTTCGGTTTTTATAGAAAATTTTCGGTTTTTATAGAAAATTTTCGGAAATTATCGGTTTTTATAGAAAATTTTCGGAGAATTTCGGAAATTTTCGGTTTTTATAGAAAATTTTCGGAGAATTTTCGGTTTTTATAGAAAATTTTCGGAGAATTTCGGTTTTTATAGAAAATTTTCGGAAAATTTCGGTTTTTATAGAAAATTTTCGGAAAATTTCGGTTTTTATAGAAAATTTCGGTTTTTATAGAAAATTTTCGGAAATTTTCGGTTTTTATAGAAAATTTTCGGAAAATTTCGGTTTTTATAGAAAATTTTCGGAAATTTTCTCTTTTTATAGAAAAAATTTCTCTTTTTATAGAAAATCTCAGCAAAATTTCACTTTATATACAAAATTTTTGTTTTTATAGATAATTTTCGGAAAATTTCTGTTTTTATAGATAATTTTTGGAAAGTTTCTATCTTTATAGATAATTTTCGGAAAATTTCTGTTTTTATAGAAAATTTTCGGAAAATTTCTTTTTTATAGAAAATTTTCGGAAAATTTCTTTTTTATAGAAAATTTTCGGAAATTTCTTTTTTATAGAAAATTTTCGGAAAATTTCTTTTTTATAGAAAATTTTCGGAAAATTTTTCTTTTTATAGAAAATTTCGAAAAAATTTCTCTTTTTATAGAAAATTTTCGAAAATATTTCTCTTTTTATAGAAAATTTTCGGAAAAATTTCTCTTTTTATAGAAAATTTTCGGAAAAATTTCTCTTTTTATAGAAAATTTTCGAAAATATTTCTCTTTTTATAGAAAATTTGCGGAAAATGTCTCTTTTTATAGAAAATTTTCTATTTTTATTGAAAATTTTCGGGAAATTTCTCTTTTTATTGAAAATTTTCGGAAATTTATTCTTTTCTATAAATAATTTTCAAAAAATTGTTCTTTTTGTAGATTTTTTTTTGGAAAAATTTAAAAAAATTATAAAAGGAAATTCAAATTAAATTTTCTTACCTTTCTCTCTCCGTTAATGCTTGATTTAATTGTTCCGTAAATGATGTCGGTGGCAATTTGCCACTTATTATTGCTCCCGTTGGACCGACACGTCGTCGACTCGGATACATCCAATTCTCCGATGATTGTTCGTTTTCCGATAGTTATCGTTCGATCCTAGAATGGAATCATATGAACTATTGAGATCACGGCTGCTAGTACCGAATGTGGTCATGCCACCACGATGAAAATCATTAGGACTAGAAGACGTTTCAATACCGCCGGGTGAGCCCAGAGTATTTTTAAATAATGCCGGCAAACCGGTATGTGAAGCAGATGATGCGGAACTCTTATGATCCTTATGAACTTGAGCATACAATTGATTAATTTGCTGTTCTCTAGTATTGACAGATGATGATGTTGCTGATGATGAGGATGATGTGGAATTAAGTAAAATGGCGGTTGTTGTACCGGCAATAATACCAGCATTACTTGTGCTACTAGTATTATTACTAATACCACCGACGACTACTCCTACTCCAACACTACTAATGCCGCCACCGTTACTACTATTATTACAAATGTTATTGCTATTACTGTTATTGTTACTGTTACTATTATTTAAAATATTGTTACTATTGTTGTGATGGCCGTTACTAATGATATTGTTGTGTTGTTGTTGTAGATGTTGGTGTTGTTGTTGTTGCTGTTGTTGGAGTTGATGCAAACCATTTAAAATATTAAGTTCATGTGTTGACGTGGAATTGTGATGATTATGATGAATATTATTAAGCATTAAGCCAGCAGTAGCTGGAGCAGCAGCAGTCTCATCCTCACTATCATCGAGAGCACAATCAGAGCTACTGTTGCTAAGAGTGCGTTTAGATAAATTGTTAGTGCTGTTGGCAGCTGCTATGGTGACCGCTGTAGTGGCATTCGAGGCACTCGAACTAGTATTGGAATTATTAACCGATGGCAATTGACGATTTGCTAGACCACCACGGGAAGCTAGTTTTAGTTTATTTGTTTTTATGATTTTTTTTTTTTTTTTGGTTAACGTATTGCAAGTAAGTGTAGGTGGAGTATATTGGTAAAATTTAATTTTCAAGCAGCAACAGCAATTTCGTTTTTTTTTTTTAATTTTTGATTTAATGTTAAAAAAGTAGGCGTGGCAAGTATTTGAAATATTGATGAGATTGTTTTTGATGATGATTGTTTAGAGTTTTCGTTTTTATAGTTTATTTTTATTTGGCATTTATGATTTACAAAAACAATTAACGTAAATTTATTTAAAATTTATGTTTTTTTTTGGACAGCAGACAGTATACATGACACAAGTTTTTTATTTAGAAACATTTTCGAACAACATTTACAGAGCACAACAGCAGCGCATAAATATATTTAGTTTTTAAATAGAAATAGTTGTTTTTGAAAAATAAATGAGTTTTTGTTTGTTTTTTTTTACATAAAAAAAGAAAAAATAAAATAAAAAAATTACAATTTCTTAAGTTTTTTGTGGTTACGTTTTTTTTACAAAGAAAATAAAATAGTAATGAACACAGAATATTTAACGTAAAAGAAAAAAAAACTAAGGTTTGGAATTTTTGATAGAAAATTAAGATATTTTTTTAAGGAATTTGTGTAGTTTTTTTTATATAAAAAGGATTTAGTAAAATTACAAAGCGGTGCTTAATACAAGAAAAGGTGCTTAGGAAATGAACACAGAATAAACTGGTGCAAAAATTTTTAAATACAAGGGAAAGTCAAAAGAGAGAGTAAAAAAGTGGTGATTTAAAAAAAAATAAATTAAATTTTTAAAAGAAATTATCTTTTTTTAGGGAAAATTTTCGAAAAAATCTCTTTGTTTATAAAAAATTTTTGGAATATTTCTTTACTATAGAAAGTTTCTCTATTTCTATTGAAAATTTTCAGAAAATTTCACTTTTTTTAAGAAAATGTCTGCTTTTTTAAAAAAACTTTTCGGAAATACTCTTATCGTAGAAAATTCCACTTTTTATAGAAATTTTTTGGAAAATTTATCTTTTTATTGAAAAATTTTGGAAAATTTATCTTTCTATAGAAATTTTCCGAAAATTTTTCCTTTTTTTTTTTGGAAAATTTTCTCTTTTTTAAGAAACTTTTCGGAAATTTCTCTTATCATAGAAAATTTCTCTTCTTATAGAAAATTTTTCATTTTTTGGGAAAATTTTCTCCTTTTTAAGAAACTTTTCGGAAAATTTCTCTTATCATAGAAAATTTCACTTTTTATAGAAAATTTTTGGAAAATTTCTCTTTTATAGAAAATTTATCTTTTTATAGAAAATTTTTCCTTTTTTTTTGAAATTACTCTTGTTTTTAAGAAACTTTTCGAAAATATCTCTTATCATAGAAAATTTCACTTTTTATAAAAAATTTTTGGAAAATTTATCTTTTTGTAGAAAATTTTCCCAAAATTTTTCTTTTTATAGAAAAATTTCCGAAAAAAAAAATTTATAGAAAATTTTCGAAAAATTTCCCTTTTTTATAGAAAATTTTGAAAAAATTTCTCTTTTTATAGAAAATTTTCCGAAATTTCACTTTTTATTAAAAAATTTTCCGAAATTTTCACTTTTTACTGAAACTTTTCGGAAAATTTCACTTTTTATAGAAAATTTTCGAAAAATTTCTCTTTTATAGAAAATTTCTCTTTTTATAGAAAATTTGTGAAAAGTTTCTCTGTTTACAGAAAATTTTCGGAAAAAATTTCTCTTTTTATAAAAATTTTGGGAAAATTTCCTCTTTATATAGAAAATATTCAGAAAAGTTCTCTTTTTATAGAAAATGTTCAAAATATATTTTTTTTTCTATTAAAAAAATTTCGAAAAATTTCTCTTTTTATAGAAAATTTTCTCTTTTTAACAGAAAATTTTCGGAAAAACTCTCATTTTATACCAAATTTTCGGAAAAATTCACTTTTTATAAAAAATTTTCGAAAAAAAAATTATTTTTTTTTTTTACAAAATTTTAGGAAAAATTCTTTTTTTATAAAATGTTGTCGAAAAGTTTCTCTGTTTTATAGAAAATTTTCAGAAAGATTATCTTTTTATAGAAAATTTTAGAAAAAAATTTCTTTTTATAGAAAATTTTCCCAAAAATTTTTCTTTTTTTGAAAATTCACTCAAAAATTTTATTTTTATAGAAAATTTTCAGTAATTTTTTCTTTTAATGGAAAATTTTACAACATTTCCTATTTAGAAAATTTTCGAATAGCAAGATTTTTTATTAATGTTTATAAATCACCACCTATTTCTTTCCTCTCCCCCATTTTTTTTTCAAATAACAATTAAAAAGTTTGTAAATGCAAAGCAAAGGTAGTCGAAAAAGAAACAAGAATTCAAATTCAATATAGGAAAAGGAAACTCAACACAAACACACACTCATAAATCATTTCTTACTTACCCAAATCAATTTTCGTTTTATTAGCCGAATTATCCAGTAATTCATGTTGTGGTACTGCAGCATCCAGCTCATCCTTTACTGGATTCTTACGTTCCACCGTTGCAGTCTTGACACCCTCGCCGTCGGGTGATAAATCCGATATCTCAGTATCTGATAATTCAGTTTCCAATTTCTGGAATAAAGGTTTGGGTGGTGCTTTACGCATCATTTGGGGGTGTTAGCTTAAGAGTGGCACTGTCATAGGGTAAACCGACTGGGAAGCCACCCTTACGTTGTGTCTCCTGTAGTTCATGTTCTAAATTAATAACACGATCTTTAAGTTTTTTCACAAAGCATTATATTCCGTGTCTTTTTCTTGCAGCAACTGCTGATAGAATTCCTCACGATGGCACATGTCTACCTCACGTTGTTGATACTCGCGTACCAAACGTTTGGCTTTATTGTATTTTTTATCGAGGGCCATGTACTGGGCCTGCGATTGTTGTAGCATATTTTGTAGATTAGCAGCCTCTTTTTTAATATTGACCAGTTCACGTTCGCTTTGGTCGCAAACGTTCGCTGAGCAGTTCATTTTCATTGCCAGGTGTTTCAAGTTTGACGAGCTGTATGTAGAGAGTATTGTAATATTAGTAATGTATATTAAAAAGGTCAAAGTATAAATTATACTAATTCAAATAAAATTTAAACATGATAAAAAAAAGAAAAGAAAAATAAATTAATAACCCACCTTCCGTTTAAGGGTGTCTATTAAGTCGTCCTTTAAAAGGCAACTCATTTCGCTCTAAAATAAAATATAATTGAAATTAAAATAAAACGAAATTAAAATAATAAAACGTGCAAAAATTATAAATATTATACAAATTAAAAGATTTCAATAAAAAGCATATAGAGTTTTCATATTAAACTTTTTGAAACTTGTGGAAAAAAATATTGAACTTTCGCCGCCTGTTCTTTTTTGGAATTTGTTTTTCTATAAAAAATAAATTTTCCAAAACATTTCTATAAAAATAGAATTTAATTCTGAAAATTTTTTATAAAAGAGAAACTTTCCGAAAAAAATGAATTATAAAACCGAGAAACTTTCCGAATATTTTCTATAAAACGAGAAACTTTCCGAATATTTTCTATCAACGAGAAACTTTCCGAACATTTTCTATAAAAAGAGAAATTTTCCGAAAATTTTCTGTAAAAAGAGAAACTTTCCGAAAATTTTCTATAAAAAGAGAAACTTTCCGAAAATTTCTATAAAAATAGAAACTTTCCGAAAATTTTTCTATAAAAAATAGAAACTTTCCGAAAATTTTCTATAAAAAATAGAAACTTTCCGAAAATTTTCTATAAAAAATAGAAACTTTCCGAAAATTTTCCTATAAAAAATAGAAACTTTCCGAAAAATTTTCTATAAAAAATAGAAACTTTCCGAAAATTTTCTATAAAAAATAGAAACTTTCCGAAAATTTTCTATAAAAAATAGAAACTTTCCGAAAATTTTCTATAAAAAATAGAAACTTTCCGAAAATTTTCTATAAAAAAATAGAAACTTTCCGAAAATTTTCTATAAAAAAATAGAAACTTTCCGAAAATTTTCTATAAAAAATAGAAACTTTCCGAAAATTTTCTATAAAAAATAGAAACTTTCCGAAAATTTTCTATAAAAAATAGAAACTTTCCCAAAATTTTCTATAAAAAATAGAAACTTTCCCAAAATTTTCTATAAAAAATAGAAACTTTCCGAAAATTTTCTATAAAAAATAGAAACTTTCCGAAAATTTTCTATAAAAAGTAGACTGTAGAAATTTTCCGAAAATTTTCTATAAAAGTAGAAATTTTCCGAAAATTTTCTATAAAAAGTAGAAATTTTCCAAAAATTTTCTATAAAAAGTAGAAATTTTCCGAAATTTCTATAAAAAGTAGAAATTTTCCGAAAATTTTTTATAAAAAAGTAGAAATTTTCCGAAAATTTTCTATAAAAAGTAGAAATTTTCCGAAAATTTTCTATAGAAAGTAAAAATTTTCTATAAAAAGTAGAAATTTTCCGAAAAATTTTCTATAAAAGTAGAAATTTTCCGAAAATTTTCTATAAAAAGTAGAAATTTTCCGAAAATTTTCTATAAAAAGTAGAAATTTTCCGAAAATTTTCTATAAAAAGTAGAAATTTTCCGAAAATTTTCTATAAAAAGTAGAAATTTTTCCGAAAATTTTCTATAAAAAGTAGAAATTTTCCGAAAATTTTCTATAAAAAGTAGAAATTTTCCGAAAATTTTCTATAAAAAGTCGAAATTTTCCGAAAATTTCTATAAAAAGTCGAAATTTTCCGAAAATTTTCTATAAAAATAGAAATTTTCCGAAAATTTTCTATAAAAAATAGAAATTTTCCGAAAATTTCTATAAAAAATATAAATTTTACGAAATTTTTACAAAAAGAGAAACGTTCCGAAAAGTTTCTATAATAATAGAAAATTTCCGAGAAATTTTCTGAAAAAATTCTATAAAAAGAGAAACTTTCTATAAAAATGGAAATTTCGAAAAGTTTTCGCTGAATCAAAAAGATAAAAGGTTCCAACCAAATTTTTATTTACTTTTGATCTCTTATATAGGAATACTAACAGAAATTCGAAAAAAAAAATCAAATTAACATTTTTCTAATAGGAATCCATGCCAACTTAAAAGGAGAAAGCTTATGATATTCACTTTCCCTACAAAGCTATAAAATCAAACTAAAAAAACAACAAGACTTAAATATAAAACTCATTTACCGCTTTATGCTGTAGGACCAAAAAATGTTAGTTATAAGTCCATTTAAATTTACAAATTATTAAGCAAAAAGAAAGAAAAGTTAAATTTAGCATAAGTTATATGAAGATTCCCTAAACAAAATAACCAAATTACCTCTTGTAGCAGTCTCTTAAGAGACTCTACCTCTTGTGAGTGTGTAGCCTCGACCTCCATGGGATGTTCGACTTGAACGGGACTAGTAGGTCCCTCGCAAACACTAGAATTAGCCGAAACGGGTTGAGTAGAATCTTCAGAGTAGTCTAAAGTACGTCTGAGATACTCCTCTTGTTGTCTTTATTAAAAAAAAAGAAAAAAATTAAAAAAAAACATTCTTTAATTATTAATTAAACTCATATTACCTTTTTAATCTTTCCTCCTTTTCCTTATCCGCCTGTAAACTTAAGCGTATCAATTGAGCCACTTCACTATTTTCCGGATCTCTTTCCCTTCCTATTTGAAATTTGACTAGACCAGATGTGTTACGCAACACTGAGGCTGCATATGCTTGTGTTACACCCACTAAACTTTTACCATCCACTTCGATGATTTGATCATTGACCTGAGCAAATTTTAAGTTTTAATTGAAGTTTCATTAGTTTTCGCCATTTGTTTGAGAGTAAACATTGAACTTCAAAAATCTTAAAACTTGAAAATTTCAACTCACCTGTATGCGTCCGTCGCGTGCCGCAGCACCGTTATCTGTTATTGTTTTCACGAATATACCCAATTTCTCAAGACCAGCATCGGCTCCAACGCCCATGCCAATAATACTGAGACCTAAACCTTCGGGGCCCTTCATAAGTTCCACCGGGAAAACGTGCATTTTCTCAACACGTTTCTCGAGTTCATATTCCGCAGAAGCGGCCACCGGATCGACATCTTCATTGCGGCGATCATAGTCGTTGACAGAGAATGTAGAAAAGACTTGTATTGGTCCCGAACTGAAGCGTACTTTTGGATTTTTCTTAACCGGTATGGGTGGATAAGAGAGTTCATCGTCGTCGAAGTCTAGGAGACCTATAAGTAGGGAGGGAGTAGTTTAAAAGTTAGTAAGGAATTAAAAGACTAATTTTGGAAAATTTTCAATAAAAGATTTAAATTTTCGAAAATTTTCAATAGAAAAGAAATTTTCTGAAAATTTTCAATAAAAAAGAGAAATTTTCTGAAAATTTTCTATAAAAAAGAGAAATTTTCTTAACTTTTTCTATAAAAAAGAGCAATTTTCCGAAAATTTTCTATAAAAAAGAGAAATTTTCTGAACATTTTCTATAAAAAAAGATTTTCTATAAAAAGATAAATTTTTCGAAAATTTTCTATAAAAAAAGAAATTTTTCGAAATTTTCTATAAAAAAAGACATTTTCCGAAAATTTTCTATAAAAAGAAGAATTTTCCGAAAATTTTCTATAAAAAAAGAATTTTCCGAAAATTTTCTATAAAAAGAAGAATTTTCCGAAAATTTTCTATAAAAAGAAGAATTTTCCCGAAAATTTTCTATAAAAAGAAGAATTTTCCGAAAATTTTCTATAAAAAGAAGAATTTTCCGAAAATTTTCTATAAAAAGAAGAATTTTCCGAAAATTTTCTATAAAAGAAGAATTTTCCGAAAATTTTCTATAAAAAGAAGAATTTTCCGAAAATTTTCTATAAAAAGAAGAATTTTCCGAAATTTTCTATAAAAAGAAGAATTTTCGGAAAATTCTTCTTTTTATAGAAATTTTCGGAAATTCTTCTTTTATAGAAAATTTTCGGAAAATTCTTCTTTATAGAAAATTTTCGGAAAATTCTTTTTTTATAGAAAATTTCGGAAAATTCTTCTTTTTAGAAAATTTTCGGAAAATTCTTCTTTTATAGAAAATTTTCGGAAAATTTCTTCTTTTTATAGAAAATTTTCGGAAAATTCTTCTTTTTATAGAAAATTTTCGGAAAATTCTTCTTTTTATAGAAAATTTTCGAAAAATTCTTCTTTTATAGAAATTTTCGGAAAATTCTTTTTTTATAGAAAATTTTCGAAAAATTTCTTTTTTATAGAAAATTTTCGAAAAATTTATCTTTTTATAGAAATTTCTTTTTTTATAGAAAATTTCAAATTTCTCTTTTTATAGAAAATTTTCGGAAAATTGCTCTTTTTATAAGAAAAAGTTAGAAAATTTCTCTTTTTATAGAAAATTTTCAGAAAATTTCTCTTTTTTTATTGAAAATTTTCAGAAAATTTCTTTTCTATTGAAAATTTTCGAAAATTTAAATCTTTTTATTGAAAATTTCCAAAATTTCTTTTAATTCCTTACTAACTTTTAAAACTACTCCCTCCCTACTTATAGGTCTCCTAGACTTCGACGACGATGAACTCTCTTATCCACCCATACCGGTTAGAAAAATCCAAAAGTACGCTTCAGTTCGGGACCAATACAAGTCTTTTCTACATTCTCTGTCAACGACTATGATCGCCGCAATGAAGATGTCGATCCGGTGGCCGCTTCTGCGGAATATGAACTCGAGAAACGTGTTGAGAAAATGCCGTTTTCCCGGTGGAACTTATGAAGGGCCCCGAAGGTTTAGGTCTCAGTATTATTGGCATGGGCGTTGGAGCCGATGCTGGTCTTGAGAAATTGGGTATATTCGTGAAAACAATAACAGATAACGGTGCTGCGGCACGCGACGGACGCATACAGTGAGTTGAAATTTTCAAGTTTTAAGATTTTTGAAGTTCAATGTTTACTCTCAAACAAATGGCGAAAACTAATGAAACTTCAATTAAAACTTAAAAATTTGCTCAGGTCAATGATCAAATCATCGAAGTGGATGGTAAAAGTTTAGTGGTGTAACACAAGCATAGCAGCCTCAGTTGTTGCGTAACACATCTGGTCTAGTCAAATTTCAAATAGGAAGGGAAGAGATCCGGAAAATAGTGAAGTGGCTCAATTGATACGCTTAAGTTTACAGGCGGATAAGGAAAAGGAGGAAAGATTAAAAGGTAATATGAGTTTAATTAATAATTAAAGAATGTTTTTTTTTTAATTTTTTTCTTTTTTTTTAATAAAGACACAAGAGGAGTATCTCAGACGTACTTTAGACTACTCTGAAGATTCTACTCAACCCGTTTCGGCTAATTCTAGTGTTTGCGAGGGACCTACTAGTCCCGTTCAAGTCGAACATCCCATGGAGGTCGAGGCTACACACTCACAAGAGGTAGAGTCTCTAAGAGACTGCTACAAGAGGTAATTTGGTTATTTGTTGGGGAATCTTCATATAACTTATGCTAAATTTAACTTTTCTTTCTTTTTGCTTAATAATTTGTAAATTTAAATGGACTTATAACTAACATTTTTTGGTCCTACAGCATAAAGCGGGTAAATGAGTTTTATATTTAAAGTCTTGTTGTTTTTTAGTTTTGATTTTATAGCTTTGTAGGGAAAGTGAATAATCATAAGCTTTCTCATTTTAAGTTTTGGCATGGATTCCTATTAGAAAAATGTTTAATTTTGATTTTTTTTTTTTTCGAATTTCTGTTAGTATTCCTATATAAGAGATCAAAAGTAAATAAAAATTTGTTTGGAACCTTTTATCTTTTTGATTCAGCGAAAACTTTTCGAAATTTTCCATTTTTTATAGAAAGTTCTCTTTTTATAGAAAATTTTTCAGAAAATTTCTCGGAAATTTCTATATTATAGAAAACTTTTCGGAACGTTTCTCTTTTTGTAAAAAATTTCGTAAAATTTATATTTTTTAAGAAATTTTCGGAAAATTTCTATTTTTTATAGAAAATTTTCGGAAAATTTCTATTTTTATAGAAAATTTTCGGAAAATTCGACTTTTTATAGAAAATTTTCGGAAAATTTCGACTTTTTATAGAAAATTTTCGGGAAAATTTCTACTTTTTATAGAAAATTTTCGGAAAATTTCTACTTTTTATAGAAAATTTTCGGAAAATTTCTACTTTTTATAGAAAATTTTCGGAAAATTTCTACTTTTTATAGAAATTTTCGGAAAATTTCTACTTTTTATAGAAAATTTCGGAAAATTTCTACTTTTATAGAAAATTTTCGGGAAAATTTCTACTTTTTATAGAAGAAATTTTTCGGAAAAATTTTCTACTTTTCTAAGGAAAATTTTTACTTTCTATAGAAAATTTTCGGAAAATTTCTACTTTTTATAAAAATTTTCGGAAAAATTTCTACTTTTTATAAAATTTTCGGAAAATTTCTACTTTTTATAGAAAATTTTTCGGAAAATTTTCTACTTTTTATAGAAATTTTTGGAAAATTTCTACTTTTATAGAAAATTTTTCGGAAAATTTCTACTTTTATAGAAAATTTTCGGAAATTTCTATCTTTTTATAGAAAATTTTCGGAAAGTTTCTATTTTTTATAGAAAATTTTCGGAAAGTTCTATTTTTTATAGAAAATTTGGGAAAGTTTCTATTTTTTATAGAAAATTTTGGGAAAGTTTCTATTTTTATAGAAAATTTTCGGAAAGTTTCTATTTTTTATAGAAAATTTCGGAAAGTTTCTATTTTTTATAGAAAATTTTCGGAAAGTTTCTATTTTTTATAGAAAATTTTCGGAAAGTTTCTATTTTTTATAGAAAATTTTCGGAAAGTTTCTATTTTTTATAGAAAAATTTTCGGAAAGTTTCTATTTTTTATAGAAAATTTTCGGAAAGTTTCTATTTTTTATAGAAAATTTTCGGAAAGTTTCTATTTTTTATAGAAAATTTTCGGAAAGTTTCTATTTTTTATAGAAAATTTTCGGAAAGTTTCTATTTTTTATAGAAAATTTTCGGAAAGTTTCTATTTTTTATAGAAAATTTTCGGAAAGTTCTATTTTTTATAGAAAATTTTCGGAAAGTTTCTATTTTTATAGAAAATTTTCGGAAAGTTTCTCTTTTTATAGAAATTTTCGGAAAGTTTCTCTTTTTACAGAAAATTTTCGGAAAATTTCTCTTTTTATAGAAAATGTTCGGAAAGTTTCTCGTTTGATAGAAATATTCGGAAAGTTTCTCGTTTTATAGAAAATATTCGGAAAGTTTCTCGTTTTATAATTCATTTTTTTCGGAAAGTTTCTCTTTTATAAAAAATTTTCAGAATTAAATTCTATTTTATAGAAATGGTTTTGGAAAATTTATTTTTTATAGAAAAACAAATTCCAAAAAAGAACAGGCGGCGAAAGTTCAATATTTTTTTCCACAAGTTTCAAAAAGTTTAATATGAAAACTCTATATGCTTTTTTATTGAAATCTTTTAATTTGTATAATATTTATAATTTTTGCACGTTTTATTATTTTAATTTCGTTTATTTTAATTTCAATTATATTTTATTTTAGAGCGAAATGAGTTGCCTTTAAAGGACGACTTAATAGACACCCTTAAACGGAGGTGGGTTATTAATTTATTTTTCTTTTCTTTTTTTTATCATGTTTAAATTTTATTTGAATTAGTATAATTATACTTTGACCTTTTTAATATACATTACTAATATTACAATACTCTCTACATACAGCTCGTCAAACTTGAAACAACTGGCAATGAAAATGAACTGCTCAGCGAACGTTTGCGACAAAGCGAACGTGAACTGGTCAATATTAAAAAAGAGGCTGCTAATCTACAAAATATGCTACAACAATCGCAGGCCCAGTACATGGCCCTCGATAAAAAAATACAATAAAGCCAAACGTTTGGTACGCGAGTATCAACAACGTGAGGTAGACATGTGCCATCGTGAGGAATTCTATCAGCAGTTGCTGCAAGAAAAAGACACGGAATATAATGCTTTGGTGAAAAACTTAAAGATCGTGTTATTAATTTAGAACATGAACTACAGGAGACACAACGTAAGGGTGGCTTCCCAGTCGGTTTACCCTATGACAGTGCCACTCTTAAGCTAACACCCCAAATGATGCGTAAAGCACCACCCAAACCTTATTCCAGAAATTGGAAACTGAATTATCAGATACTGAGATATCGGATTATCACCCGACGGCGAGGGTGTCAAGACTGCAACGGTGGAACGTAAGAATCCAGTAAAGGAT